GTCTTATGCGTTATGCTTTATGCAAAAGTCTGTGCTCCCGCCTTAAAGCTACACTGAACTACACTATGGCCGGTATTCATATAGCGTTTTCGAGTAAACAGGGTTTGAACGACCCAAGATTGGTTAATGACGTCATTGCAACCTCTCCACCAATGAAAGACTTGCATTCATAGTAAAATAGTGATTGATCAACCCTAAATCGTTCAAACCCCGTTTACTCGAAAACGTTAAGGCTGTATCCCCATGGAGAAAGAAATAGCGGAACGGAACAGTAACGGAACAGTAGAAGAAAAGAGATATGATGAATATATCTCTTTTCAACTACTGTTCCGTTATTGTTCCGTTCCGTTATTTCTTTCTCCATGGGGATACAGCCTAATAGTGTAGTTCAGTGTAGCTTTATGGTGCACACGGGGCACAAATGTGCGATCCATACACCAGCCAATCAGAGTCCACTAACAGTCACGTGACGAGTTGGCGAGTCTCTCTTTTAAGGGTCTCTACGCCTGTGCGTGCATATGCGTGTGTGTGCGTGCGTGTATGTGCTGTATGATCCGTGTAGGTGTGTATGCGAGTGAGTGATGGATGTGTACGTGCGTGTGTATACACAACCACATAGCATATACCCACACACACATACGCACACACCCACTCACACACACAGCATACACATTAGCCGGCATTATATCACGGCTATGGTAGTTTTCCACCAAGAGACACAAGCGACACAAAAGTATTATTCTCTCTGTTGCTCATTGAATATCAAACGAAGACAGAGTGATACTTGTGTCGATTTGTGTCCTTTGCTGAAAAATAACCAACGTCATCACAGCATAGCAAAAGTTAAAAGTTAAAAGTTAAAGACTTTTAAAATATTTCTAGACAAAAAACTATTAATTTTTAAGCTTAAGTACTAAATCAGCTTTTTTGATTGGTGTAGATTTTACACTAAACGATTTATACCTATCGGAGAAGCAGATTTAGTATTTGGTACGCGTACTAAACAATCGGTGTAAACTAAGCCAATGTCGATGAGCGCTCATACCAAGATCTATAGAGAGAAGGTTACCTCATGCGCAAAGAGGGACGAGCGGCAAGAGAGGCAATGATGATCTCATCGGCAAACAGAAGCTATCTCAGACAGCTACTGTTTGTCGATGAGATCATCATGCTCTCCCCTTCTTCGTCGTCCCTCGCCCACAAGCTGTTTCTAGCTCCCCCCTTACTTCATCGTCCCTCGCCCACAACCGGTTTTGCCCATTGAGTAAAAAAAAACAGGAGGGAGCATATACTAGCCAGGACTAGGTAAATCCGCGGACGGATGTACGTCATGGCAGCCATCTTGAGCGACCACTTTTTGAAAGTGAGAGGGAATGCTCGAGCATAGCGGCAAGCGGCATACCGTACGCCGTACGCATTAATATGCAGTGTATAGTCTTTTATGCAACAGTGTATGGAAATAAACGATCAAAATGGTATACTGTAGAGCTTGTGGCATAACAGCAGCAGCTCGAAATCATGGAATAACGTTTCATCGGTTAGTATTATCAACAATAATGAGTATTTTTATTTTGGAGATTATAATCATATGTATAGTATTGTAAAATTGTAGATTC